GAGAGAGAGAGAGAGAGAGAGAGAGAGAGAGAGAGAGAGAGAGAGAGAGAGCAAGAGCTTCAAGGGCTTGTAACTGGGGTACGATGTGGCAGTTTTACATAAGGTGACCAGAACATTGAGAGAGACTGCCCACCACTGGTGTCCGCCACGCCATACGGATGACCAGGGCTTGCCATCAAAAGGGATTGACAATAGGGTACGATGCAATGTGGCGGTCTTCGACGAGGTTATGAAAAAAACAAAGGGACTCTGTGTCAGGCCACTTGCAGCACACCTCCCTCCCTCCCTCCCTCCCTCCCTCCCCAGTTTTTCAATGCGTAAGGAGCAGTCCAAGCAGACATCCAATTGAATTTCTTGTGACGCAAGGGGCCGAAAGAGAGAGAGAGAAAAAAAAAATCTGATAGACTACCTTCCATTTATTTTCCAAGAGTCCCCAAGACTGAAAAAAAAAAAAAAAATTAAAAAAAAAAAAAATCTGGAGTTGGAAGTGACAGAGAAGACAAACAAAGAGGTCAAATACGGACAACATTCCCGAGGATGCACGTTACAGCAATCACGGCCAAATTCGTCCGAACAAAGTCCTTAAGATTATGGCATCCGAATCTCTGACATACTGCAGTACATAGCACAGGCAATCCGAAAAAGCAAARAAAAAAAAAAAAAAAAACACTGAAAAATGGTCACAAGGCTCACAACACAGAGTAAAACTACTGGAAACTTGAAGAAGCAATAAATACCTTTGAAGAAGCATTAAAATTTAAAATCCTTTTAACTTTTAAATTCATTTTGAAAAACTTGCAATTCAAAATTCAAATTCCTTCACAAAATTCACAATTGCGGAAAAAAAGCAGCACTTCCCACAAAACTTGCTTCAGAATCATTCGCTGTCACAGACACGACGTTTTTTGGAACTTTTTCCAACTTTGACACGAGTATTTATTATTTTAAATTTTAATTTATTTAGTATTTACAAATGTGACCGTATCACTCCATCTACTGTGCCTTCAGAATCTCTGACATCCAATTTGAATTAAACGAAGATATTAAAAAAAAAAAAAAAAAAAAAAAAAGGAATCTCTGACAGATCGATGTACTGAGAGGTCGGAGCTAATTCTGCCATCTACTGTGCCTTGAAGAAGGAATGGCCCTTACCTCCCCTCCCTCCCCTCTGTCCCCTCCCTCCCCTCCCTCTGCCATGCCCCCGCCCCCATCTACTTACTTCCTGTCTGATTCTTCTCTATCGAGTTAGACAAGAGGCTACTCTTCTTCACAAGTGTACACTGTTCTTGCAGCGGACCTGCGTTGGTTGAAATGCAGGTCACCGTCACACCCTCCTGCCGCGCCCTCTCCCTCCCCTCCCCTCCCTCCCTCCCTCCTACCCTCCCTCCTCTATCTAGTTAGATAGAGCTTACTCTTCTTCACAACTGTACACTGTTCTTGCAACGGACCTGCGTTGGGTCAAATGCAGTTCACCCTCACATCTCCCTGCCGCACCCTCTCCTCCCTCTCCTCCCTCCCCTCCCTCGCCCTCCCTCTGCAGTGGCCCTTCCCCCCTCTACTTACTTCCCGTATGGTTATTCTGTATCTAGTTGGATAAGATTCTACTCTTCTTCACAAGTGTACACTGTTCCCGCGACGGACTGCAATACGTTTGGCGTATCTTTCCTTCTCAGCTGCATGTGGGAACACATCCAAAGGGAAGCTGGAGCAGGGACATACGTTTGGCGTATCTTACCTTCGCAGCTTCACTGTTCCCAACTTCCAAGTGCGCCATGGTCGAAACCTAACATACCACATACCAGTGTGCGCCATGGCGATAGGCAATCCACCCGGCGGGCCCGCCAAGTTTTCCGATTTCACCAACGAACAACAACGCGCTGAGTAAGGAGTGCCGGGTGGATTGCATATCACCCGGGGGCACAACGCCAATAAGTCCGAACGACAGACAGAATGCCTCGAATGCGGGGGGGTGCCCACAAGAGCCCATGGGGATTCAGAGCCTCCATACGAATGTGAGTGTGAGCCATGGTGACAGGCAATCAAACCGGCAGCCTGCAAGTTTTCCAATTTCCGCACCAAACAAATGAGACGCGTACTTGCCTAAAGTAACAGCACGGTGCTCTGCTGCAGTAAGGCTTGCCGGAGTGAGGTAAAGAGGATTGATGGCCTCGGTTTCTCAAACTTTTATACTTCTCTGAGTCGTTTTTGAACTTTGCCTAAATTGCTGTCATGGCCTCGGTTTCTCAAACTTTTATACTTCTATCAAGTTCTATGAACATATTTCCATATGGGACGCTGGGCACGGTTCCCAGCACGTGCTGCTGCTCCCCACGAATAGATTGGATGGAGCCTTGTGTTTTCAAAAAAAAAAAAAAAAAAAAAAAAAAAAAGTAACAGCAAATAAAATCAAACCGGTGGCCACACAGGAAAGAAAATCCAATCCAACTGAAGGGGGCCTAAAGACTCAAATGTGTGGACCAATGAGACCCCACCATTTAACCCTGTCGATACTCCGCTAAGACCTCATTGAGACCCCATGCAATGGGAACCCATTGAGACCCCATTAAGACCGCATTCAGATGGCAATACGACCCTGTGAAGACCCCATTTAGACCCTGCGAACAACCTGTTAAGATGGACCATTGAGACCCCATTGCGTTGGGACCCCATTAAGAAACCATTGAGACCGCATAAAGACTTCGTTACGACCCGATTAAGACCCTGTTAAGGCCCCATTAAGACCTCATCAGAAAATCTCATGAAGACCCCGCAAAGACCCCGTGAAGACCCCATGGAGACCTCATCAGAAGACCCCATTAAGACCCCGTTAGGACCTCAATAAAAGACCTCGTTAAGACCATACGAAGACACCGTTAAGACCCCCCACTAAGACTGCCCTAAGCAGAAAAAGTGCAGGTTCCTCAGAACCTGCAACATCAGACTACAATGACCTCAGTAACCTATAGATATTAAATACATAATATGAGGCAAGGCGCACGCCAGTGCTGCTTCAGTTTGTGAGCAAGCAAGTGACGGATGTCACCAACCAAACTAACATATAGCCAGATTATTACACCGCTCGCTAGTTCACACCAGCCTAAGTTGACAAAGCTACCTTCCAAGGCTCCGCGAGCCCAGCAACCGCACCTTTTCAAAGTAGCGGTCTGCCGCTTTCTCTACCGGCCCAGGCACGAATCCCACAAAATATGACCCCGTGTATACGCCCGTGCTGCTTTGGTTTTACCCCACGGCATACGCATATAGCCGCAGAGCAGAGCGCAAGCAATGAATTGTCAACGTGCTGCTCTGGCACGCTTCTGGAAACGGTACAAAGTACAACCGCTGGTACAGAGTACTGCAGGCTATACCGTCTTTACCAAAGGTACAAAATAGTAAAAAAATACTAAAAAATAGTAAAATAGTAAAAATACAAGTTCGATTTTTTTTAATTATATATATATATATATTTTTTATTATTATTTTTTAACAGAGTGTCTATACAAGTTTGATTTCCTCTTAACAGAGTGTCTATACCTTCTTCATACCTAATGATGTGTGCTTTTCCAGTCTCCAAATAACTTCAGAAAACAAAACCAAATGCGCTTTTTAAACTTTTTATTAATTTTTTTTTACCTTTTTTTCGCAAATTTTTCCACAGTTCTTCTAACACATCCTCCGTGCGATCCATTTCTTCCACATTCTTCCTCAGTTCTTCTTGCACAGTTCTTCCATTTCAACTTTTTTGAACTTTTTTAAGAAAATTTTCCTCCGTGCGATTCCATTTCTGGTAACCAGAGCAGATCCCTGAGTGACGTCACTCAAAAAGATGAAAACTCAGAACTGTAGCATCATTATGTCACAGGAGAGTCCTGTTTACAAATTTACACGCTCTCGAGAAGGACGTCACTAAAAAAAAGAATGGCTAGGTTAGATTTTAATGCAAAAAAAAAAAAAAAAAGACTTACATCTTTCTTAAACACTTGAGCTGGGAAAAAAAGAAGGTGCCTTTCCCAGCGAACACTTCAGTACTGCGACGGATCGTCGTCAAGAATGAAATGAACCTGGTTCAGATGGCAGGCACGTACATCCATCCTGCAGCCAATGGGTATACGAGTGCAACTTCCAGAGGTACTGGAGGTGGCGTAATAAAAAAAAAAATCCTGACTGGCCAAAGCCCGGCGGCAAATCGACACGGCCATCGAACCTTTCCAGGCTATCACTTCCGTACGGCGACAGTTCGTCAAGAATGAATCTAACCAAATTACTGATTGGCCGAGGCCCGGCAAATGACTGATTTAACCAATCGACACAGCCATTGAAACTCACATCTTCATTTGATAATAAGCTGAATCAGCCTTCCGTCCAGAAGGCAGGCCTGTGCATCTGCCCCGCAGCCAATCTGTATACGAGCGCAACTTTCAGAGATGCAGGTGGCTTAATCAATTTCCTGATTGGCCGAGGCCCGGCAAATCGACACAGCCATTGAAACTCACATCTTCATCAGACTCCTGGTTGGCCAAGGCCCCGCAAATCGGCGCTGCGGCACATGGTCATCAACAGCGGCCTAGGAATTTTGCCGGCGTCGACAGCAGCGGCACTGGGCTCCTTGAAACCTCCTGTTCTTTTGAACTCGCTTCTTAACTGAACTCCGCCATAGCCATAGCCATAGCTCTGTTAATAGACGCCACATGAAGCTGAGGATGTGAAAAATGTAAGAACCCAAAGTGGCTACCGTCTTCACCCGAATAGAACGCCCAGTAATTATTGCCGTATCTGGACTAAAAGTTGCACCAAATACAGCTCCAATGACCGGGCATTCTATTCGGGTGAAGACAGTAGTTTCCAGAGCAGTCTTGCGATACTATACAAGCCCAGTCGACAAATGGCTATGGCTATGGCTATGGCTATGGCTATGGCAGATCCACAGTCGATTTGAACTACCGAATAGAACTATAAGTCGAGAGAGGACTGAAAGGAGTCCGCACACCATGCTGATTATGTTGACGAGCTACTTTACCTATCACTGTGGAAGGGGCCGCGGCTATCGGAATGACGTCGATGCAGATTGTACTGAGTGGGGACCAGGGGACCAGTCCTACCGTCTTCCGCGAAAAACACAATGCACCCTCATCACGAATGTTCACGAGCTATTTTTTTTTTGTGGCTCGATGCAGTCATGTCCAGGTGCAAGACGGTAGTTATTGAATCAATAGCCTCGACTTTGCACCTTCCCGCGCAGGAGCAGCTACAGTGGCACCACCGTGGCTACTGGAATACCCTGGTTCAAATGGCCAGATGGAGGAAGGTTTACTTGAGCAAGCATAACAGTTTCGCCCACAAAGTGGGGCAACGCCGGACCTTGCCAGTGTCCATGTTTCAAACGATTGTACCGAGCTGTACGCTCCTCCTGCAGACGACAACACGAAACATAAACAGCGAATGCATCTCGGTAGTAAGTTCTCTATTCTTCGACCCGGCGACAACTAAAGAAGATAGTCACATAAAACAACGAAAGACTTGAAGACAAAGTTGAAAAACAAAAACAAACAAACACACAGTTGGTAGTACACCCCCCGAACGGGGGAATTACAGACCCAAGTTCCCCCTCCAGGCAACTGCTGATGAGCAAAATAAAATCTAGTAACAGTCAGATGAGCAAAATAAAATCATTCCTGGAGCCGGACAGTGCAATGCTGATGATATCTCACGGCCGTCCCTCTTCACAGAAAAAAAAAAAAAAAAAAAAAAGAAGAGAGGAACACAGCACGTGAATACTGAGCCGAGAAAAGAAGAAGAAGAAGAAGAAGAAGAAGAAGAAGAAGAAGAAGAAGAGGAGGAGGAGGAGGAAGAGGAGGAGCTGGAGGGGAGGACCTAATCGAGCGTAATCAATTGGGAATTCCAGTCCAATGATTGAAATGGAAATTCAGGTCAGAAGCTCCATCTGTACAAATTCCCATCTGAATCAATCAATTGGGAATTCCAGTCAAAGGATTGACATGTCATTGAAGTGTCATTGAAATGTCATTGAAATGCGATTGAAATGTCATTGAAATGTCATTGAAATGCATGGACCTACCTGACAAAGTGCACAGCCAGAGCAGCACATGTGTATCGCATAATCGTTGAAACGGCTCCATTCCTGCAAAGACACAGAAAAAAAAAAAAAAAAAAAAAAAAGGAGAGGTTTCGGCGAGTAAGAGGCCAGCCCGCCATAAACCAATCAAACAAATACCCAAAAAAGTGCGAGGTACTAAGGTTTGCGAAAAGAAAAAAAAAAGCAAAAAAGAGTGAGGTCTGGAGGAATTGCCACAAAGCATGTGAAGGCCAGGGTCCGCTGATGCTTAGGTTCATGCTATGAAAGCAGGAACCTGGACTTCATTTTGGTCATGTTCTTTGCAACTTCGTTCTTTCCAAGAATGGACATAGCACACAGCGGAACCTGGCCCCAAGGATAAAGGAACAGCCACAGCTGTGATCAATTTTTTTTAATTTTTTTTTTCCATGTGCGGCAGAATCTGGGAATTGACTTCGCAATTTGGCACTTCAACAAGAAAAAAGGAGCAATTAATTCACATGGCGATCGTCGATTCGAACTTAGTCTTCTGTATTTCGGCACCCTTAGATTCTCAATACATCAACGGCAGAGCTCCGTCCCACCATGCCACACGCGATAGAAAGCTCAGCGTTGAGAAAACTCTACTTCGGCAGTGGGACTTCACCCCAGGACAAATTGTCAAATTCCCTGTTCAGAGTCATTCAAATTTTTCATTTTTATTTTTATTTTTTTTTATATTTTTATTTTAATCATTCAAAATATTGGCAGATGGCTGAGTGCTGGAACTAGGCCCATAAACAAAAACCAGTATCTGGCATAAATACAAGGAGATGTACATCCAAATGGACATGGACGATGACAGTAGGTTTCCCGAGCCGCCGAGCCGGGCCGGCACGGCCGTGCACCCATGCAGCCTGCACGGCCGAGTGTCTGTGTGGGGCGGGGTCTGTGTGGGCCTGTGTGGCAGGGAGGTTGGGGTTGGGTGGGGTCTCACTGACTCTGTGTCTCAGACTCTCAGATGCTTTTCAGGTGGGGTGGGGCGGGGTGGATCGGGGGTCTCACTGACACAATGAATGCATGGGATGAGCTTTTGCAGGGCACAACCCCGGCCCCTGCAGTGTTTTTTTTTTTTTTTTTTTTTTTTTCCCCAGACCCCGGTGAACACACCGCACACACCCAGTGACACTCAGACAGACTCGTAACTCACTGAAAATGAGAGTGTGTCTGAGTGCGTTCGGTGGAGGATGGCGGGAGTGGGAGGGAAGGTAGGATATGGCGAGAGGGAGGTGGCGGATGGTGGGAGGGAGGTTGGAGATGATGAAAGAGGAGGCACGAGGTGGCGGGGGGAAGGAGGAGAACAGCGGGAGGAAGGTGGAGGGTGGCGGAAGAACAGGAACGAAGTCGAATGGCAGCGACGGTCACCCGGGCAGCTGAACGGCAAGTCGCAGCGCCCTCCCTCCTCACACCAGCAGCATTTGAAGTCGAATTCGAATGCGTTGAAACAGCGCAGGGCCTGAGGAGATCCAACGCGAATCTTTGCCGTAGATCTTTCACGATCTATGGCGGAGATTAGCAGTCGAAGCACACAATTTTTTTAAGCCCTCCCCCCCCGCCTGCTGAAAGAAAAATCGACCGGGGGGAGGGGGCGGGGGAGGGCCTTAAGAAATTTGTGCGAGGCCGAAACTGGCCCCCGTGTCCCTGAAATGTCCCCCAAGGCCAGTGCGCCAGGGTCGCACGGGAGACCCACACCGCCGTGCAGCCGTGCCAGCATCCATGCATGTCGAGGGGGCCCGTGCGCACGGAAATGAAGCCTAGCTATGACATGAAAAACGACATGAACCGATGACATGGGTAATGACACGGGTGATGACAGGGCAAACCAGGCATGGAATTTTTGAAAGAAACAACCAAGGAGGCAGCCACGGTATTTCCCCGTCATAGAACATACCATCATTGTAGAGCGTACTGTATTTGGACAACTTCCAGTCTTCCTGCATTCTCTTCCGGGAAGGACGTTAGCATTGCCAATATTGCTACGTAGAGACGACATGTGGAAACCGACAAAGAAAAAGGCATGGGCAATGACACAGATGATGACATGGATAACGACGTGGATTATGAAAGGGGAAACCAGACGTGGAAGGGTAAGTGTGACGGCTGCCGTCTTTCGTCGCATAGAGCAAACGGTTGTTATATCTGTATTTGAGACAGATTTCAGTGTAGATACATCGACAATGACCCTGCACTCTCTCCAGGGGAGGACTGTAGCAGTGCCAATGTTGATATGTAGATAATAGATATGACTCACAGAGCTACCTTCTTCCCCCGAATACAACGTACGGTCATTATAGCTGTATCTAGACTGAAAGATGGCGCAAATACAGCTATAATGACCATACGTTGTATTCGGGGGCAGAAGGTAGTTATCAACAGAGTAATAATAGCATTGAGTAATTTAATAAGGGCAAAAAAATATATATATTGAGATATAATCATTCAAATAAGAAAATAAAATAAAATAAAATAAAATAAGAAAATAAACTGGACCTCATGAGTGGATTAAAGGACCTCATGAGTGAATTAAACTTCAAATAAGAAAATAAAAAAATAAAATAAGAAAATAAAATAAGAAAATAAAATAAGAAAATAAAAAAGGACCTCATGAGTGAATTAAACTGGACTTCCCAAACAAGTACGGGCGGGGGAAGAGGGCATTCGGAAAGGCAAAAAAAAAAAAAAAAAAAAAAAGGACGACTGCAGGAGAGTCATGGCATTTCCTGGGAGGACAACAACATTTTCTGGGATAAGTTTTTTTTTTTTTTTTTTTTTTTTTCTTGGAAGGCTTAGCTGCTTCTGTTCTGGGGAGCAGCAGCCCGGGTACTTTTCCACCGGCAAGTCACCCCCAGCATTTTTTTTATTTTTTTTTTTAAAGGGCAACGGCCGTGAGAGATCATCATTGAACTCACCGGCCCAGGTAATTTAGAATTGTTTGATTTTGTGCATCCAATCGTCTCTGGATTCCAACATCAGTTTGTATTGCAACAGTTCATTGGTGTACCAGCTGACTTATGCCTGTCGGTGGGAGGGGGGGGAAAAAAAAAAAACAAAGAAAGGAGGAAATGTGACGATGACACACCGATCCCACAATTCCAAATTTCCTTCGGATGCGGCGTCTCCAGAAGCCTCCATAGGTAAATCCCCCAATCATTAACAGAATGCCCAGCAGCTTTAAGGGGAAAAACTGCCAGAGGACTATCACAAAGACAGTGTAAAGAAGACCGCCGTCATTGTACTCCATGTAGTCGTGTGGTTTTCCGACTCCTGGAACAAATGTCGCAATAAGGAAGAAAATCAGAAAAATGCCTGACGTCAGCCAGAAGAAGACGCAGCCCTGTAGGTCAACATGAAACAACACATAAGAAGAAAAGGTAGGTCAGTTTGGTGGAAAACAGACAGAGGGGCTTGCCGCAGCCCTAGCCACCGGCCACCAAACATTTTCCATTCTGAATCTGTCTGAACCTGACCTGGAAGCGATCCCAATACATTCACAATGGCGCCTTAGCAAGTGTGTTGCGGCGAGCCCTAAAATCATGTCGAAAAAAAGAGGTGGGCGAGTCCAGTCGAACAAACTCTTCTTCTTTTCAATGAACCAGCCCTGCTGTTTCAAAAAAAAAAAAAAAAAAAAAAAAAAAAAAAAA